ATTAGTGATAATCTTCCTGATTATATCAGTTAATCTAATGACAATTTGTCCCTATACAATTCTAATGTAATAGGAATAAATCATCTAATTGCAAGGAAGTGGTTTTCAACAGGGATCTGAAGGACTGGGTGAAAGTACATATTTCCAGTTTCCTGAAAAGAGAGTCCCAAAACTGATACAAGTAACTGGAAAAGACTGACACAAGGAAGCTTGTCATAAAGAGATCCTTCTCTTGGTCTTGACACCATCAGACAGGCCATAATAATAATAATAATAATAATAATAATAATAATAATAATAATAATAATGATAATGATGGTGATGGTGATGGTGATGGTGATGATGAGACTCAGCCATGAGAAAGCAGCAATGCGATTGGATAATATAATGGAAACCATAATCAATTTATCTATTTAGCTTCACCTGGGTCAACCGGAAATTTTTCATTGGTTAATTTAATTTTCATTTTTTTCTCCTGGTTGTAGTAATGGAAGATGAGGATGAAATCCTATTTGCCCATGAATAGGAAATTCCACTGGCCCTGAAAATTCTCTCTCACAGACACTCATTCGTAGAAATCTCACTGTTACAAAAGTAGCATTCCTTGCTTTCAGAACATCCAGCAGCTGTGGATCGGACTATCTGTGTCTATTGCAATGTTTGGAAACTGGATTCATTATTTATTTTGCAAACCAGCAAGGATCAGGCCTTTTCCTAAGTCTCATTTCTGTGGAAGTGGAAAATGAGGATATATGGAAGCTCATTAGTCTCTTTGAAGTCCTTTAGAAATTCCTCAGGCATTTTGCTCAGGCAGGAATCTCCATATTTAACTTGATTTTCTTTTCTCTTGGAGCAACTATCATGCCAAGAGACTCACTTGCTACTGATAGTTCACAATATGAAACACATTATTATAGTTGGGGTATTATACCTTAAATTATTAGGTGGTATAGACTGCAGTTCTTCATTCCCTTACATCTTAATGATTTCAGTGAGTAATGATAATGGATTTCAGTAGATAATGGATTGCATCAACCCACAACATTTAATTGTTTTAAAGGGCATTGGACAATATTTATGTTTATACTGGGACAAAAGCATCAGAGCCTAAATGAAATCTTCTTATTTACACCTTAGTCCTGTGCAGGGTTATTGAAAAATCCGTTTTAGCTCAGTGGTTTACATTCTTGAGCAGGATTTAACCATTCTTGAACAAGAATTTCATTCATTCATTCATTCATTCATTCATTCATTCTATGCACCACCCTGCTAGCCATAGGTTCTCTGGGTGGCTTACAACATGTTAAAATCCAAGCAAGATAGCACAATACAGAATTCAATATAACTTTCACAACCACAAAAGACCTATTGAACAAGCTGCAAGGTCCAGACTGTTCTCAAAGGCATCCCCACATACAATGCGTTACAAGTGGGAAGTTACCAGCACATGGAAAACTGGGGCAAGTCTCCTTTTGTCCAAGTAGGGACACAGCTGGTAAATCAGCCAAAGCTGATAAAAAGTGCTCCTGGAAATCAAGACCAACTGGGCCAGAAGCGACAATACCAGATCTAGGTGTAACTCCAAGGCTGCAAACTTCATCCTTTAGCAGAAGTACAGACCTGTTCAGACTAGGCTGAAAATTCTCCAGTTGAACAGTACCTCTGTCTTATCTGGACTGAGCTTCAGCCTATTGGCCCGCACACAGCCCATTACCAGACACTGGTTCAGAACAGTCACTGCCTCCTTGCAGATGATGAAAATGAGTGATAGAGCTGAGTGTCATCAGTGCACTGATAGCACTTCAGCCCAAACCTCTGGATGACCTCCCTCAGAGGTTTCATGTAGATGTTAAAAAGCATGGTGGAAAGAATGGAGCCCTATGGAACCCCATGGTGCAAAGACCATGGTGCAGAGCAACAGTCCCCCAGCACCACCATCTGGAGAGGGTTAGCCAGGTAGCAGCAGAAACACCACAAAGTGGTGCCCCCCACTCATGCCCAGCCACCCTCTCCAGCATGGTTGATGGTACTGAAAGCCACTGAGAGGTCCAGCTGGATATAACCTGTTGTAGAAGAACAGAAGGAACAGAAAGGGAGACTGACCTGCACTATATGTTAAGGCTATATATCTCTGCACAGATATACATGAGGATGACCTTAGTAGCTCCATGCCCAATTCAAGGTGCTGGTGTTAACCTATAAAGCCCTACATAGCCTGAAGGAATTTTTTTCCCAACGTTCTTCTACCTGGAGGTTATGATTTAAGTTCTGAGGCCTCTCTCTGACTGCCGCCTCTCGAGGAGGCTTGGTTTATGGCAACAAGGAGAAGGAACTTTTCAGTGGGCTCTTCCACAGTTACAGAACTCGCTCTGCATTGATGTCTGCCTGGTGCCAACCTGACCATCCTTTTGGCACCAGGGAAAGATAATCTTCTACATCAGGGCATTCACACAGATTTTAGGGCCTGCTAGTTGCTACAAGTTTGAATATTTTCCTTATTTTTAAAAAGCTATCACACACACATTTAATGTGTGCTTAATATGTGATTTTAAATTTTCTATTATAAGCATATAATAATGTTTTAATTTATTAAATGCATTTGGTGAAGTGCCCAAAGTGTTTCAGCTGCTGGGTGGTATAGAAAATAAATAAATAAATAAATAAATAAATGCCCATTTAGGCCATGAAATTCAACCTCTCACTTGGATCCAAGCTCTGCATGGATCCAAGCAACAGAGTCCACCTGCTTCCTAGCCAATTGGTTCCATTGTTTGCCTGCTCTGACCTTTTAAGAAACTTTCCTGATGTTCAGCCAGAATCTGATTTCCTGTAATTTAAGCCTTGGATCTCAGAGAAAGAATAACAGCCTCTTTTTGTGCCACACCTCTTCAGGGAGTTGAACAGAGTTGCCGAGCAGTTGTCTTCTCAAGGCTAAACTGCTTCTGTCATTCTTTCCTTGGAATCCTTTCTAGTGCCTTGTTTGTCTTCAGCACTTTTCTCTGAACTCATTCTTGAAGTATGGAGTCCAGTAGCTGAACTAAGGTCTGACTAGCCACTGTAGAGGTGAAATATTCATTCCTGAGGTTTAGAAACTGCACCACTCATCCAAGCTAAATCTGCATTTGCCTATTCTGAAGCCACTTCACACTACACTGCTTATTCATATGAAGCTTATAAGCAACCAAGATCCCTTTTACATGAACTGTTGCCAAGCAGGTTATCTATAAAGAAGCTCGGGGGGGGGGGTGTTTGTTTTTTGTTAAATTTCATTCTGTTATTTTCTGTCCAGTCCTCTAAACTTTCAATATCATTTTTAGTAAAGTTTCTGTCTGTTATGGTATTAGCTACCCCATCCAGATATCTCATCATCTACACACTTGATAAGCATTCACCTCAACGTTTCATCTCCCCTTCCTAATTGAAGTTTCCAGCCATGGAATCCTGCTCATTGGTACTCCAAGTTTATTAGCCTCCCTGAAGTCCAAGGAGCTTGCAAAAGCATTTGCATGCTTCATAGTTAGCAGATTCACATTCATTCCTGGCTGCTTCAGAAGGGTTGTTGAAAATAGTGGCATTTTGCATTTTTTGCCATTCTTCCCAATACAGTTATTATCTTTCATTACTTCCACAGTTTCCAGATTCTTCTGCTGAAGCAGTGCTATTACAGAGTTAACACATCCCAGATTTAAATAATATCAGCAGCATAATATCAGTGAGAAAGAGAAAAAAAGAATACTGATCTGATTGAGCAACCTAATAGGTTCAGTTGTTAGATGACAGAAGCATTCACAAGGAGACTATGCACTGATTAATTTAAAAAGTTTTTTTCCATCTGAATGTATAACTTTAACTTAATCCAAGTGTCCAGTACATTGTTGAACTATCAGGCATTTTAAAGAACTGTCTTTATAAATAGGTCAACACACCCCTTCTGAAGAAGTACGTACATCTGTTCACAGTGGTCAAAATATTCTTTCATCTTAGCTATAGCTTCAACTGCACAGGCTGCTAAGAATATGTAAACATATTCCACTATGGCTGCACCACAAAATAAAAACCATATGTACATTTAAGAGAAATAAAGGCTCTCCTGATGGCTCTTAAAGTTTCTCTAATAATTTTCCTTTGTTTAAAAAAAGTTGTTGAAGGGACAGAAAATGTTCATGATCCTGTTTCATTTTTTTGAATTCTTCCCTGCTCTTTCTTGCTCTCCTTCTCCAGACTCTCACATTAGTTCAGTTCCCTGTCATTTTCCCACTTTCAGTTCCATTCTGCTGTAGCATTTCCTTATAGCACATTATTTGCAATACATGGAGATGAGGTATAGGGGTGAGCGGAGGCTCAATTTCTCATCAAAGCTGGCTTGGCCTCCTCTTTCATTTTCTTGGTCCCTCCACCCTGTAGCTTGTTGTTGTCTTTTTCTTGGCTGGTGTCCTAGGCCTTCCCAAGCTGCCTGGCAGCCTGAACAGAAATTATTGTAGCTCGTTTGGAATTTCCAGCCTGGGCCAATTTAGCAACTGCTGCAAATAGACTAGAAGGAGAGGATTGGTGCATGATGTCACACCTGCCCTTCACTCTGTTTGCCTCTTCTGTTCCAAAGAGGGCAGAAGATTTTGCTGAAGGCTTTCACTTGGGGTCAACAGCTAGTCTATTCCCTAAAGAGAGTTGCGTTTTTCTGCCCTTATTGAGGGACACATGGTGCTAGGAATTCCATTCTGTTTAAGCTCAGCAGCATTCCATTAAGTTTTTTCATCCTGATAAGCAGGTTATAGATTATTTATTATTCTTATTATTTATTTAAAGTTTTTATATGCTGTCCCAGTTTTCATCCCCAGACATAATCCTCATATATTCCTACCCCTGTTTGCATCTTCTGTACTGTACTTTTTCCATCTATATCATTGAAGCAGTTCAACAGGAGTAAGGTTTACAAATAGGTCACGCCACACAGAGACATCTGAATAATATGCAGAAGATGAAATTAAAATGCCTTTACTCACCTTTCTTTTTGACCGGTGGTTGGATTGCTTCTAAACAAGAAACAAAATATACATGAATATGTTAGTTCATATTTTAGATATGCTTTTGTGAACTATTCTTCTGTGCTAAAATCCTAAGCAATTTGTATAACAGGTATATTCAGCTGAAATTGGAAGGCCAGCTTCCACATATATAGAGTCAGAATGTCCACAGTCAATTCGTGTTTCTTAACTATCAGTCAATGTTTAGGATGAGCCTCCATTCAAATCTTCAAAAGATGTGAAGCATGAGACAGAAAATGATGCTTGAGGACAGAAACTGTGCAATGATTTCCTGGGAATTGACGAGGCAGTCTAGGGTAGCTCTTTCAATCTATCCTAGTTCCACATCCCAGCTAGAAGGCAGGCAGAAATCAGGAAATGATGTTTGGGGACAGAAACTGTGCAATGATTTCCTGGGAATTGACGAGGCAGTCTAGGGTAGCTCTTTCAATCTATCCTAGTTCCACATCCCAGCTAGAAGGCAGGCAGAAATCAAGATGGGTTGAATTCCTCTCTAATCACATCTCTTGTTATATCTGGAACTTTCACATGCAAGCAGCTGAGTCATCTCAGCTCTTCTAATCCCCACCTGTAGCTTGAATGAGGAAAAAAACCAGGAACAAATTAGATGAAAGAGAATTCATTTTTCAGTATATTTTCCTTAGTTCTTTCTCACCTATCTAGAATGCAAGCCCATGTCTATGTAGTCAGAAGTAAGACCCATTGTGACTTACTCCCAGTTAAGTGTGCATTAGAATTGCAGCCTTAGAATGATTATACACAGCATTGTATTCTTATGTAAACAAAAAAAATCTAGAATAAAATATTCAGAAAGAATAAAATCATGTATTTTCCTTCCATGTTGTTACCAGTGTAGGAGCATTGGCAGTTATGCTACATGTTAATGTTATTTCTGTGCTGTCTTCCAGCCCAAAGGTCACAAAGCTTAATATAAATATAACATTCAAACAATGTATTCAGAATGTACTTAGTACTTATCTCCTTTCTGTACAAAGAACAGTGCACTTAACACTACAACAATCCTGTGAGGTAGGTTGGACTGATAGTCTGTGACCGGCCTAAAGTTACTCAGCAACCTTCATGGCCAAGTAGGGACTGGAACCCAGGTCCCTCGAACCCTGGTCCAACTCTCGTGGCTCCACCCACACTATCGTTGCATCCTTCACGTATAGGCCCTGCCCACACACCTCCTTATCTACCATTTTTCTTGCTGGAAAAAAGGAAATGTTAAGGGAAAAAAGATGCAAAGGCTGCACAGTGCCTTCTCATTCGTTCTCAGTTCCTTAGGAAGCCCCCTTAGGTAATTCACAAAGCAGCACATGTGTCTAAGGCACCAGGGGCAACCCCTGATTTTACTGGCAGGGCTTGTGTGCCTTTATCAGCTCGAAGACAGGCAGAGGCCAAGGCGAGGCTTTTTCCTAATATAAGGAAGGAGAGAGAGAGAGAGAGAGAGAGAGAGAGAGAGAGAGAGAGAGAGAGAGAGAGAGAGAGAGAGGTGGGGCTGGCAGTTTTTTCAGCTGTTGAATATCTAGAAGGCAGGCAGCTGTTAGAGACACAGAAACCCAGCTGGAAAACACGGCAGCCAGCTAGTCCAGGAGTTATTATACCAACTTTGTGTAAGACATTAATAAACTGCAGTTTTCACTCAGGACAGGGAAGAAATTCTTTCAGTTTGCAATTGAATGTGAACTTCCTTGATTTCTCACTTTCTAATGATTTCTCCTTTGAAAGTCATACTTCTGTGGATTTTGCAAAGGGATAATGCAGTTTAAAAAGTGCATCTCAATACACATGCATTTCAGGGAAGTACACACAAATATGCACAGCTAACACCAAAATGCATTGCATTAGAAATATTGCTTGGAAAATAGGAATATTGGGCAAAATATTCTAATCCTATTCATGCAAGTATTAGGAGAAAAGTGCACAAAAATGCATGTACTTTTTTAAATTATGTTGCAAGGAGAAATTAAATTTCAGATTAGAATAAATTCGCTATGCTCAGCCTGGTCTGAAGTTAATACTGGAAATACGAGAAACCAAAATTTCATCAATCTCTAGCTTCACAACCTTAGAAGTGCAGTGGGTGGTGTCCTTTTTGTCACTTTTAAGCATCAACTACATTTCACACCAAAAATCATCTATCAATAATCAGTGCACTACATCAAAATATACTGTTCTACATGTCCTACAAAAGATTTTAGGTACATGGAATATCCCCCAACTAATCCAAAGCTATATAATGAACGATAGCAGTGGCACCACAAAGCTGCATTGTTCCTGCCTAATAAGTGCTTAATCAAGCAAAACATTTACCCTTTTATAAAGATGAGCAAAAACAACCTTTTGCTTACAAGGAAGACTCCAGCTAAGCCAAGAAAGACATAACTAACCCAATGAATAACAATGTAATGATATATTAGCTTTCTTTTTGCTCTGCTGGGTTATTTTCTTCTTACAAGAGGCTAAAGCATTATGGGTTTAAGGATACAAAAGAGGAGACACTGATTGCAACATTTAGATGTGCACATTCCTATTTTCATGCACATATCAGGGTGTTGGTAGTTAACTAATATAGTCCCTTGAGGAATGAAAGGCCATTTCATTCATAAGGGTCAACAACAAAAAATTTCCATGCACAAACATAAGCTCTTTTGCTTGAGCTGTTGTCATTTCCCTTCCCAAGCACAGCCCTTGTGCCAAGTCAGCTACTACTGCCTAACATGTCCTAAACTGCAGGACCACCTTCTCAGGTGATGTAAACAGCCTCAGGTGATGTAAACAGCCACCTCCTCAGGTGTAATTATTTATTTAGACCATTTCTATCCCACCTATATCTGGGTGGATCTCGAGATGCTTACAACCAGAGCATTAAACACTGTTGGTGCTTGCTATGGCTGGTGGGACAGAAGACTAGTCTGCAGAGGCAAAGTAAATGACATCTAGCTATTGGGTTTGCTGTAGATGGATCTTTAGCCACTGTGTTAATGAAAGGCTAGCCCAAATAGACCTTGGCCTGATCCAGCATGGCCCTTATGTTCTTATACAGACAGCACAATCCAGTTCATGTCTACCTGAGGTTAAGTTTAATAGAGGTCAATTAGTCTTACTCCCAGGTACACACATGCACAGAATTGTATATTTAAGATCTTTCTAATTATGACATCCCGATTCCACCATTCTGAACAATTTGAGACATCCCATATTGTCAGACCTCTCTGTTCTTAAGAAAATGGCATATAGAATACATATCTGAAATCCTTCCCTTCCCTCCTCAAAAAGCCACAACAAAGTTAGCTGTGCTTTCAAGCTGCATGTGAAATTGAAGGAAAATGAACTGGTGCCTTTGGATGCTCTGTAGAAAAAGAAATGTCCTTGTTCCATCATTACAAATATATCCCTTTTGTTCTCCTACCCCAATAAGTGGCTGTATGGATCCCTCAAGTGACCATATCCAACCAGTTGTCCCAAGACAAGGCATTCCATCTATAAGATAATCAGTGTGGTATAGTAGTTAAAAGTTCAGGTCTGGGACTCAGGAGATCTGGGTTCTAGTCCCTATCAGTCTTGGAATTTGCTGGGTGCCTTTTGTCAAGTCACAAACTCTCAGCCCAGCCCAACTCACAGGGCTGTGAAGAGAATGAGAGGAGAATTATGTAAGCCACATTGAGTTCCTTGGAAGATGAAAAGGTGGGATATAAATATAATGAATGAATAAGCATCTTATAACACAATCTTGTGCATGCTTATTCAGAAGATAGCTCCATTAAGTCCACTGGTGCTTATTCCAAAATAAGTTGGCATAGTATTGTAGCTTTAGAATTTAATCACAGCCTGCCACAAGAAGAGAAGCAAGTAGATTAAGATGTATTATGCTGAAGCTGTTGGTAGAACAAACAGTTGCAGCTGAAGGCAGCAAGTGAGTCAAGCCACATTCTGAAGGAAATGAAGGCCCTCAAGAACATTCACTTAACTATCCCAGGATGACCTGACTTAAATTAAGGCACAAACAATATAAACTAGGTTCTACAAGCCTGAACCCTGTCCACCCCTGGTGTAGACAATATTGAGCTCGGCAAAGCAATGGTCTGACTTTGGTAAACCAATTTACCAAAGAAAGTTATAAATCAATCAATTTTCAGCAATTTTATTATATTAATTTTTAAAATATAAATTAGTTTTCCCACAAGAAAAGCTTATTAAAGAGACCAACACTTCTCCTGCTTTTAATACATTCTTGCGCAATTGTGTTAAGGCTGCAATTAAGGCTGTGCACATTTACCTGAAAGTAAATTGCATTGGTCTCAATAGGAATACTATTGTAGTTCCAAAGAGAAGACCTATATGGAATAGCCCTGTGAATGGCTGTAGCCTTCGGAGTGGTGGTGTTTATTTTGACATGCCTTTATTTATCTGTGCTCTCTTCTTTTTCATCTACAACAGAAAGTGTTCATCAGACTTATGGTTGTCTGGTGGAATTGTTAACTCTTCTCCCCCACTGACTCCAGTTGTTAATGAATAAAATCATGGTGTTGTTATTAGGAATCTTTTCTTTTGTCTATGCTTTCCCTTTAGAAAGGCTGGGGAGAAAAACAATCAAAAAAACTTTCACCAGGCACAAAGATGCTGACTATGTGTAGCATGTGTTTTTGCTCATTATTGCCTTTTACAACCACCACCCAGCAGTGAGAAAGCAAAAGTGAGACTGTGCAAGCAAAGTCCAGGTGCGTAGAGGACAGCAAGTGCAAATTAGAAAGCAAGAAGAGGGACAACACAAGAACAGAGACATGGAGGGAACTGAAAGGAGCACAACGCTGTCTGCGCAGACTTTGTCCCTCCTGATCAAAGCACCGGCCCTAAGGCTGAAAAATGGCTCCATCCAGCTGGAGAAAGCAGAGGGCCTGCCGGTACCTTCCCTCTTTCTCCATGGACTGCATGGCAGTCACAATTCTGTTTGTTGCTTCTGCTTCACTCTCTCTGCCCTGAAGAAGAGACACTGTAAGAGCTAGAGGGTGCTGCCTGATGACTCCTGGGGGAAAAATCACCAGCGGGAAATATGGTGGGAAGGACACTGGATGCTTCGGATAAAGCTGCCCTCCTGCTTTAGTCTAGTATAACTTGCCTTTGAGGTTTATTAAACCAAAGAGAAAAATCAGTGGAACTCCATGTTGATGTTCATTCCCAGCCCCCTTCCAAGAGCTATTATTATTTCCAGGGACATTCCTGTTCTCCATTTTATCACACCCCTTGGCACAGTATTTCGCTCTCCATTTGCAACCCTTGTCAGAGCAAGGAAAACATGTTACCAGCTCATCTGGAGCAGGCACGAATTTGAACTGCAGATGGGGCTCCCCAACCCCAGAAAGAAGGGTGGCAACTTCTCCACTTCTCTTCCCTTTTGTACTGAGAGGGGTGGGGGGGGGTGGAAGTAGACAGGCTCCTACTTTCTTTCTAGCTTTCCTACCTTTCTTCCCTACTGGTTGGCCAAATCTCACTTTCTCTTTCATACGCTTTTAACTGAGAGAACAAGGTAGAAAAAAGAGGCTTCCCCAGAAAGGGGTGGGGGCAGTTGAAAGATTTTCCCCTGTCTCTTTTGCTACATGTGCAGTAAGGGGTATCTTCTTTGAGTTATGGGGAGAACCTCTTCTTTATGCATGCATAATTTAAAATCAGTGATCCAATTTGAAAGGCAGTGATCAGATGGCTAGTGAGAGAGGTGAGGAGATCTAAGCATCAGGGACTAACACAGGTAAATCACTGTAATACCAGGCCAAGTCCTAAGAGGGAAGAACATACAGGCAGGCCTCAGCCATCTTTGTCCCGGTTGATGGCCCATCCATACAGTTGGAGGAAGGGCCCTCAAGTGCTCTGTTGATCTTGAAAAGGACAAATTATCTCTCGAGAACTCAAAAATGTGTAACTTTATCGGAAGCTAGCCCCCACCCCCCTTCCTGCTTTCAAGCAACAGATAGTTTCTTGCCAAAGGCTCTTTATTTCTAATGTAAATCCAGCAAGCTAAAGGCAGAAAAGGAAGAGTCTCTGGTTCATTAAACCCAAACTAGAAAGTATTTCTGAGAACTTTTGAGTAACCCTGGACCCCACCCTCAGGGGCCTTTAAAATTATTCCATGGTTTAATTTTAGGAAAATTTTTTCCAGAAAGCATTTCTGAAATTTCAATTACTTGTTTTTGCTGTTACCAAGCAGACATCCTTATAAATAAAAATCATGGCACTTGCATATAGTTTATGCTGGTATTTTACACATGGTTATTCCCAGCAACTCATAGATTCATAGAATAGTAGGGTTGGAAGGGGACAAGGAGGTCATTGGGTCCAATCCCCTGCTTGTGCAGGATGCCAGGTCACAGCATCCCTCTCAGATGGCTGTCCACTTTCACCTTGAATGCCTCTAGTCTGGGAGAGGCCACCACCTCTCTGGGCAACTGGTCCCACAGTCATATTGCTCTCACAGTTAGTAAGTTTTTCCTGGTATCTATCCTGAATCTGGTGTCTGAAGTTTAAGTTCATTGCTACATGTCCTACACTGAGGGATGAGCAAGGAGAGATCTTTTCATTCCTCTTTGGGACAGCCCTTGAGGTAATTCTGGAGTGCTATCATATCTCCTTGTAGTCTTCACTTCTCAATGCTGAACATGCCCAGTTCTCTCAGCCTTTCATCACAGGGCTTAGTTTCCAGACCCTGGATCCTGTTGCCTTCCTCTGAACCCTTTCTAGATTTTCTGCACCTTTTTAAAACCTGGGTGCCCAGAACGGAACACAGTATTCCGGGTGAGGTTTGATTAGTGCAGAGTAAAGGGGAACTAGTACCTCTCTTGCTCTGGAAGTGAATTTATCTATCCCAAAATAGTGTTTGCCCTTTTTGCAACTGCATCACATTGTTGGCTCATCTTTAGCTTGTTGTCCACCACAACTTCACGATCATTTTCTTTTTCAGTACAATTGAGCTAAGTATTCCCCATCTTGTAGTAAAGTGTTCAGTTCCTTTTTCCCAGGTGAACTAGGCATTTGTGCCTACTGCATTTCATTCTGTCACTCTAACTTGTATAGATCACCCTGGATCTTCTTTTTGTCTTCCCGAGTATTCTGCCCAGTTTTGTGTTGTCTGACAATTTAATTATCTTTCCCCAGACTTTCTCATCTAGAACATTAATAAAGATGTTGAAAAGCACTGGTTCCAGGAATGAGCCCTGTGGCACCCCACCCATTAATTAAACCATCCTAGTTTCTAGTTCTGGCTTGCAAAAGACTAGGCTGGAGAACTACATTTACCCAATTTCTATCTTAAATGTGGGAATAAAGTATTTGATATGGACACTATGCTGCAAAATAGGAACTGGTGTTGTAAAGACACGCTGGTTAGTATTCACATGCAATAATGATCTGAAAGCCCCCGCAGTGGCAGACATTAAGCATTGCTTCAAACTGACAAATGCATTTGGAGGGAGCAATGTTTTAGTTCCAGCTGGGTTTTAATTATATTTGTTAAGAAGGAAGGCTCTATGAGGCTACAAAGAAACAACAAATATCGCATAAAGACTCCACCGCCGAGTGCATCAGGCTAAGCAGCGCATAAGGAGCATAACGAATAACAGGCACCACACTTATCGTTTTGCATGGATTGTCATTCAGGTACCTATTAACTACAAAACTGATTATTGTTGATGTTTCATTAACATAGACCACCACAGCCAACTGAAGTTGGATGATGCATTTTAATTACAGTCCCAAAACTGCAGGAGCACACGTCCAAAGACATCTTTGATAGCTTATTTAAACAGTAAGCCATGCTACATGCACACGAGAGGGTTTGCTAAGGAGTTGCATTATGGCCCCACCTAGGCAAAGGTTTCACTCTTTTTTCCCAATTTATTTTTTGTAGATCCCTGTCACATCACTAATTCCCCAATTCATGACACATGGGTTGGTGTTCAGACAAAGTAATCCAAACTGTCTTTGAGCTTCTGAAGTTAGTTGTGCAGTTTCTCTGGATTGCAGCGAACACACACACACACACACACACACACACACACACAAGACCACTGGCAGCACATTAGCATTCAAACTTCCTTACAGCCTGACTTAACTGCTCTTATTGACTCCTGTAGTACCACCACCTATTGTTCCATTGTAACCATAAGGTGGGCTGCAACACCACCTTGCCTGGAATACAAGCATCAAGAGCCCATGGAGTGTCATTTACGGCATGAATGTTCCCTCCTTATGCAAAATTAAGCAGCGTGCTGGGTTTGACTCTTCTTGCATACCCTAGCATACTTCCAATAATAGCAACATTTTAATTCTGGCATCCTTCCCACAACAGTGCATTCAATACAATCCAAAAGCGATTGCACAAAGAGGCCAGTTTTCATGCTAAGGCTTGATGCATTTGAGTGTCAAAAACTAAAGAGGGGCATTTCTTACCCATTGTGCAAGACAAGAAATCAGCGGCATAACAATCATCGCTTGGAAACATCACACCATGCCTCCAACTGGACAGTACCTTTTTCACTTTCATCTTCATCTTCAAATATGAGGTCAGTCAGCAATGAAAGGAAGCCATACACCCAATCAGTGGTCTCCTCCACGGCACCATGTATGATTCTCAGTGGATTAGAGGCAAGCTTGTCCACAGACTGACCTGAATATAAAGTATAGGAACAAAGGCTGTTAGGAAAGGGAACAGTATCTTTTAGCAGACCATGTTCTGTTATTATAAAAATGAATGATCTAGAAAGTTGGTTTTGAGAAAGCAATCCAAAATAAGTGTGTGTATGTTTGCAGACAGTGGGCCTGATCCAGAAAAATGTAAGTACATTCGAAGGATTAATTCTTTGCATGTAGACAGAGGTTGACAGACAGAATACTATTTCCTGATGCAACAGGACCACACCAGGAAACTTGCTTATCATCAGAAAGATAACATTTAACCATCGGTGTACCCAGACAAGTAATCTAGGCTGTGACCATGGTCCACATGGAAGCTGTAGTGTCTCTCTTCCCTTCTCCTTTGGACCAAATGATAGTTAAGACCAAGTCAATGATTATAAATTTAGTGCATGTTGAGAGTTTGGTATTTCTGACAACACAGCTCAAATTTTAATACAGATTCTTCTGCAAACCTCAGGCAACTGTTTTTGTTCTAGTACACAGATCAATTCAACCTGACAATCTGCTGCTTAGTCAGATATGATCTACCATCAGCAGAAGGGTTCTCTTCATTCTTTTTCAAACCCTTGAGTTAGAAGGCTTACCTACCTTTCTAGTAAACTGGACCAAACTATAATATGGTCTCAACTGAACATCAGATCATAAGAAGGATTCCTTATATGGAACTAGGCCTTTGGTCCATCTGGCCCAGCAATGTCAACCCTGACTGGCAGGGGCTGCCCAGGGTCTCAGGCAGGATTTGCCCTGACCCTGTTTTGGGATTTCAGTGATTACAGCCTTCAGAGTGCAAAACAGGTGCTCCACCATTGAGCTGCAGTTGATCTCAATAAAGTTTTCTACAATAAAAAATGGAATGAAAAATAAAACCGAATAAATGGAATGATGGTCATTTCAGAATGTACCTTCTAAAATGGAAGCCTGCAGAAAGTGCAGAAACTGAGGAAAACTAAGGAGTAAATGTCCTCAAGGACGGCATTGATAGTTTTGATCTTCTACTATCGTCAAAGGCTACCAGTAATACACTCAACATGCAGCACTTACTCATACCAGTCCCTGATGTACTTGTAGGCAGGGTGGTTCGCCCCTGAAATCAATCAAGCCCTTCAAGCATTCCTGCTGAATTCTCAAAAGCCCTCAGGGAGATTTAGAACATTTAAAAGAACTGCTCAGATGACTCAGTTGAATCAAGTCTTCCCCCATCTACTCCTTCTTTTCCAAAGGGGAAAAATAACCACGGAGAAGGAGAAGGAGTAACAAGCAGCAGGAGCTGTAAATGGAGTTTCTTAGCAGTTCCTCCTACTTCAGGCATTGGTCACTGACAGCTGTATTTAGAGCTAGAGGTCATAGGCTTTCCCCTTCAACCTTGCTTTCATGGCCCAGGACATGAGCTGCTGAGTCAAGACAGAGCCACTGGGACCCAGGCATCAGAACTCAGGGCACGGCAGGGTCAAGAACAATGGCGGTCACGTACCAACAAGTCATGCCCAACCAGAGCCAAAAGCAAGGTCCAGAGACAGTCTGTGGACAGATTCCAGCAAGATAAAGCAGAGCCAGGAGCAAGGCAAGGCCAGAGAAAAAGGGAACAGGTACCCGGCATGGCAGGGTCAGACTGAAGTCAAGTGCAAGAGTTGAAGGCAAGGCTGGAGTAGTAGGCAAGTTGAAGGCCAGCAGTAGCCACCACAAAGATCTCTGTTGCTACAGTGATACAGCAAGGCAGGAAGTGGCTGGAGCAAGGATCAGGCAAGATGCCGACAATGAACCACAACTAGCAATAAAACCAGCACTGCTGAGGCAGCCACTGGAGGGAAGAGCTTGCTCGTATAAAGTTTGCCTCTTAGCTGGTACTCATACATTCATGAGGCAAGAGGCTATCAGTGGCTACTAGCCTTTCTGGCGGCATGTGACCTCCTTCATCAGAGGTGGCCTGCCTGCATGCACCAGTTGCTGAGGAGCTTGGGCAGGAGGAGGTCTTGCCCCATCCTGCTTGAGGGATCCTGTGGGCAGCTGGTTTGCCACCATGTGGACAGAGTGCTGGACCAGATGCACCTTTGGTCTGACCCAGCATTGGCTGTTCTTATGTTCTTAGGGTCTGGGTCCAATATGTCAATTTCTGTGGTGGCCATTCCAGATTGAGTAGTCCCAGAGTTACTGGATCCTGACACCTATGATCGCTAGCAGTAAACTCCTCGAAGCCGAGAGGCCTTTCTCCTTTGAATCCCCATTCCACTTCCCAAGTGTTTCCCCACCTTCATGGGGGGTTAGCAGATAGTGGAGGTTTTCGAGATACAAGCAGAATCAAAGCAGGAGACCAGCTCACTGGAATTCAAGCAGGTACTTACACCGTTGCCTGTTCCTACTTTGAATTCTGATCCCAGCCCTAGTTTATAACCTTACCAAGTCATGCTGTTTCTTTAGCTCAGATAAAGTAACCCAGTGGAGAAAAGAACAGGGCAGCTGTGCCATTAATCCAGGCATGTGAAATCTCTTTCCAAATTTAATTTTGGAGAAGCACTTGGGTGCCACATTCTAGTGGAGGGCAGGGCCAGAAAATGCAGACTTTGCCAGCATATTTTAGCCTAGATCTCTTACTTACTACATCTTAGGAGAAGTGTTTCAGCATTTTAGTATGGTGTAGAAAAGACAGGAGAAAGTGAAGAAACCACCAAATGCCTTTTCCTAACCACCATGTAGGGAAAAGGCTTGTAACTTTCCCAAAGCTAAGGAAAGGGGAAATGGCCATTCAAAGAGTCCTGGCAAGCCAGACTGGATTCTAGGTGGGTTAAATTTGGCCCACAGAGCTGAGGTGAATCAGGTGAACTGAGATGCAGAAGGAGGCTTTTGAGTTAAGTACAACCTGCTTACCCCTATAGCACTATACGCCTGTAAAAGTGGAGCACTTCTCAAAATTTCCTCCCCAGTATAGCTATTAAATGAATTGGATCCCTCTCTTTAATGTCATTTCCAGCAAAAGCATCTAATGTAACAAAGTTGAGTACTGCATTTCTCTCACATTCTTTTATCTATGTGTTTTACCACACATTGTTTAAATATTCTAAAGGCCTTGTACAATGTTGCTTCAGCAGTTTTTTTACTGCCAGTGCTTCTTCCGAAGCCTCCCAAGACTGCAAGGGCAGCTCACGTAATAGAGTAGGAAAAAACTCAAATATAGGGAATACTTTATGGCTTATTAAGAAGAGCATAAATGTTTTATGAAAAGAGGCCAAAAGGTCAAATTCTGAAGGGAGAAATGCAAAGCTGTAATTCTATTTGCTAGACAGCGAAAAGTGGTGTATTTATGCATACACATTTCAGTTAAATACTCCTGCACTGGAAAGCTTGGATGAGAACAAAGCTTCATGGTTTGTTCCTGCATGAACCCAGCACAGAGAAACAGTTGCACAGTGGTCATGGCCTCCTTATTGCCAAACAATGGTTGAAAGTGTCCACTTGGACAGAACCAATGGTCGACATGGACCAGTCCACTTTTTATAGACAGATATTTGGTGCTGTCAAAGCTGGCTGCACTTAAGTTCTGTTTTGTGCATGGTTCTCCAAACAGTGTTAAGAATCACATACTCACACACAACTGCAAATTTCAGGCCTGTGTGCACAGCACCATTTAATGTATATGGTACCAGCAAGGGAACGAGCACACCAAGTCCTACCTGCTTCCACATGAGCAAACTGCCTGCCAGCTGTGCAAGGAAAGAAGCCATTCTTAACAATTGAAGAATGGCTTCAAGTCCCTAAATCTATTCCAGAGGACCGACCCTCAAGAACAGATGGAGGGACTGGCCGCAGGAAGAAGTGAAATGACTAAGAATGTCTTTTCTGTCAGGTGTTTTCCATAAGAAGGGTGACTCAATAGGATAGAAACCCCGCTTATAAAACAAAGGATTTAGAGCAACATATATACTGTTGCTGAGTGTCCCTTCGGCTCAGAATTTGAACTATAACCTTCAGATCATTCTCTGCACATGATTACTGCCTAATTAAGCTGAAGTATTGACTCTGAATCAGTTTGCATATATAGATCTAGCACCTGCTTCTCCTCCATGATGCTTGTTGCTGAATGTGTAAACCGATTCCTTAAAAATACATGTAAAAATTGAGGAGCTATGAAAGCTCCATCTGCAGTGTTTGATTTTTTATTTATTTCTATAAATAGTTTTGGCTATTATGTGCTAGAGGAATGCAATAAATAAAGAAATACAGCTTCTTTTCTTTTTCTTTTTAGCTGATCTATAAATCACCACTATAAATTTACCTCTTTAACCTCACTTTGTGAAGCTCCTAGAAACTTTTGTGAGGTTACTATTATTATTATTTGTTATTATTGTTGACAATGGTGCTGATTTTCTTTATATTCCCTATATATTTGGAAAAAGCAACATCTGCAGCAATCGTCCAATTCAAAATAACTAAACTGCATGCCAGATATCTTTGAAATGTTTTAAACAAATAAAATGGGTTCCTTGCCTCTAGGGAGCTCAGCTTTCCCCACATCTTTGTCAACATCAAGTTGATGTATTCCTATGAGAACAAAATACACATGAAGTAAGAGTAGGAAAATGAAAGGTTATGGTACATACATTTTATATCTTCTAGTCTCTTAATCCGTTTCCTAAATCCAAACAGTCCCTTGGCATTTACTTGGTAAATAACATGGTTTCCATCTACAGAGCCTCCACAGATAAAAAGCCAGAAGCATTTCATTGTACTGATAACCTCTTTACAAGAGTATCAAAGGCCTCACCAAAACTAAGGTCCATTTCAAATGTTACAAACATTTGCCACATATCTGCTTGTTTTATAACATGTGAAGTGACTCCAAGTCAAAATAATGCCTACAAAATATGCATTTCTACAGGTTAGTTTATACCACAAAGTATTGTTAGGGTACCATCTTTCACATACAAATACCAAAACCTTTACTAGTGTCTTCATTAGAGCTGATACTTTCCCACATAGCCAAGATGAAAGTTAGACCTGAAATTCCTGTGAGTCAAGTCATGGCTGTTGGATTGACAAATCCACATTTTGAGTCCTGGTTCAGGAAACCTAATTTTTATATGTTGAAAGTTGAACTCTGCTAAACTGGATTTGTGGGCTGGGGATGGGGTGGTGGGGAGGGCTGAATACTGGCTAATCACTCAAATGTTGAAGCTTATCCATTTTAAGTTTCAAGAAAAATTCAAATGGTTTATGCAGAGAGAGTACTATCATCAATAGCTGTGCTCACACTTTATACATGAACAGATAGAAAAAATCCAGGATATGTGATCCTAAGTCATTTGTGCATTAAGCTTGGATGCCTGCCCTTTTAGTCTGTAATGTCTGAACTTGGACAGATAAAAATACGGTAGTGGATACAAAGGAGACAGTTGATGTAAATATGCTTTTCCACTCAAAAAAAGGAAACTCTTGAGCCAATGCATTATTTGCTTTACAATTTTAGGTCTGGAAGAAGATTTAGATCTGGCAGATTTTTCTTTTTGCAGCAATGAGAACAGCAGGTTTAGTTTCAGTCATCTTTATAAGATAATTTAAAATCAGGCTTTAAAAAATAAGCTTGCAAACATTTAATGACAGAGGCCATTCAATTAACCACAAATACTTCTAGCCAATTAAAAAGTTAATCCAATATTTGGACCATCCCAAACAAAATCCATAATTACTTCTCTGGAGAGTTTTTGTTTCCCATTTGCGACAAGAAAGTTGGACGTTATTCTTTGATAACCACATTCAATATGGCAACACAGTTTCTTTATCTTCTAAGAATTGCTGTGAGGATTAGGTAATGTTGCATCTCAGAAAACCCCACATGGATTTAAAAGAAGTCCTCATGCTTATTATATCCGAATTGGATTAATCTAATTCTTTGCCTGTAATTTTCAAAAACTGCTGTTTCCAGCACTGTGGATGAGAAGGTAGAAAGTCCAATTCCCCACAAGATAATCACCATTGTCAAAACAATCAACTGGCTTGTGTGTTAGTAGTGGTCCCAATCCAGGAAAAGTCACTACTCACCCAGCACTGAGTATGCCTTCCATGCTACCTTTTGTACACAAGGAGCTCAATATTTTAACTATTATAAACATTATAAATTGCAGGGTGTGGAAATCACACACAAATAATCAGGTTGAATTGTCAGTTTCCATGTAATTCATATTAAACTTCAGATGATCATAATGTTATCAGTCAGTGGGACCTTTTCATTGGCCTGATTGTTTTAAGAGCATTTTCATAGAAACACTTAAAGTGCATGATTTTTCTTAATGCAAACCTAAGAACATAACATAAGAAAAGCCGTGCTAGATCAGACCAAGAGTCTATCTAGTCTGGCATCTGTACACATGGTGACAAACCAGGTGGCCACAGGATTGCTCAAGCAGGATGCAAGATCTCAGGCTGCCCGAGCTCCTCAGCAACTGGTGTATGCAGGCAAGCCGCTTCTGGGGAAGAAGGTAGCACATAGCTAGCCAGGCTGGCAGCCACCGATAGCCTTCTCTTCCATGAATCTATTCAATCCATTTTTAAAGCCATCCAGATTGGTGGCCATCATGACTTTCTGTGGCAGTGAATTCCATAGTTCCACAACTATACACTGTGTGAAGAACTTCTTGCCTTTCCGAAACCTTTCCACATAGAATGACCACAGAGGGCAGGGGTTGGGAAAGGGATAGAAATGCCTCTTTCTTCATTTTATTCACTCAGTGCATAATTTTAAACACCTTTATCATGTCTCCTCATTTTTGTAAGCTGAACAGCCCCAGTTGTTACAGCAGCTCCTCATAGGGGAGATATTTCAGCCTCCTGATAATTTTCATTCCCCTTTCTGTACTTTTCCTATTCAATAATGTCCCTATTAAGTTGAGGTGACCCAAACTGGACACAATATTTTAAGTACAGATGTACCAAGGACAGTCTTATTTTCCATTCCATTTCTAATTATGCCTAGTGTGGAGTTTGCCTTTTCCGCAGCAGCTGTACACTGAGTCAGACACTTTCCTCAAGCTGTTCACTGCTAGCCCAAGATTTCTTTCTTGCTCCTGTTTTCTTTTCTTGCACACTGTCTCTATTACTGATAGGTGGAAGAGGCTGCTATATTGTGCAATTATCACACTAGATCTCCTTTTCAATATATTATTATTTTGTTATTAGTTTCATTTCTATAGCATCCCACAGCCAAAGCTCAATATACTCTCAATTTCATAATTCTCTTTATTATTCATCTACATTCTGCACAGAAAAAAGGAAAAGGAACCCCAAAGTCCATGTTTAAGGAGACACCAAAGCAATGTACAAAGAATATCACTCCTGGAAATCCTCAAATCATAAGAATAACAGATTTATAAAATCTTATCTGTTCATGCTCGGAGAAGCTCCCTAATTGAATGAACTAAAGCCAAGGCAGACTCTTCCTTCCTGTTATGTGACAGCAGGCATAACCTGATACAGGCAGTTCTTGAGTTACAAATGTCTGAGTTACAGTGAACCCATGCTGATGAACAAACTGCCGTAAAACCTATTAATTTAAATATCTATATCTATATCTATATCTATATCTATATCTATATCTATATAGATATATATATATATATTGCAAGAAATCATCATCACCATAGAGCAAGAAGTGAAAAGGAGACTGGGAGAGTCTCCAAAGCAGACCTTTCTGCCCTGTGCATTCAGAGAAGGAAATCTTTCTGGTATTTCCTTGCTGCAAAGAGGCAGACCTGGTGAATTTGGGTGAGGAAAGGGAAGCTAGAGATATTTGCAGTTTTTCCACCTTCATGAGGGTCCTGTGCTCCCACCCTCTGCAAATGTGGGGGGCTGACTATACATCAAACAGACAGATTTCTGTTTTCTCAGGAACAGAACTCATTCATAACCTGGGGACTGCCTTCAACTACACCTACAGTTACATAGGCCAGGGTCTGTGCTTACCTAGAGCATGTAAACATTAGCTCAGTTGGGTGAGACTTAGCTGGGAAACATAGGAATTGCACAGTTCCCAAAACCTATGGAACAATTATAGTTCAGTCAATTTATCAAGCACCCTTTAAAAACTCTCACTGGTGTTAGTACTTGAAAGAAAAACTGAGGAACACTTTTGATTCTGATGTCATTTGCTTAAGTGTGATGAATGGCTATCCCTCACTGAACATATAAATTTCTATACAAACCTCGACGTATGCAAAAGTTTACGGATGTCCCAGTTAGTTAATATTGTTTAGCATATAAGTCACTAGCAGTTTTATCAGTTCAAATTATCTTGCTTAACTTTCCAATATTAATGAATATACTGTGAATTAAATTTTGGTTGTTAGTTCATTTCTGCCCTTGTCAAATAATTGCAAATGTTTTAAATGGCTTTGTTTGGATCACAAAGATTTGTTTAATAATTGTTAATTATATTTGAAGACAGCAACATACAGAGCACAATTAAAAATAAATGTGCAAATGAAGATAATGTATGCATACATGTTTATGTATTAGATATTGTCTAATTTCCTAATATTGGAAAGCTACTTTATGTGTAAATTCTTTTAGACTAGCCTCTGCCCGAGCCGAAATATATTAAAAACTTTTCAGTAGAGAATAATAAAAAACATTTTAGTAAAACATACAGCTTAACCTGAAGAAAATGTATTATTTTGACTAATTCATATTTTAATAGACATACATAATATTTTAATAGACTTACAGCATTAATGGTATTCAGAAGAATAATATACAAACAAAGAAGCTTGTGCAAACTTCTTAAACTAAACCAGTTATTAGTTACAACCACGTATCCCATACCAAACTCACTGGATACTTTGTAAGTGCATGAAGAATGTAAATATTTTATGATTGAAAAAAACCTCAAAGAATCTCAGTTTGATCCTCATAATCCTGAATGAAATTTAAGGGGGAGTGCTCAAGAACAATGCTTGTTATCTTGTACCACAACAGTCTAAAAGGTATTGGAATAAGAAACCAGTGTGTACATACACACATATTTATATATGATAGGTTTATTTGTACCAGATGAATTATGATTTTTTTCACTCCTCATCTTTCTGTTTTGCAGAAAAATAGTTGAGACTGTGGACCGCAACCTCCAGATACAGCTGGGTACAATCACACTAATTGGACAGCTATTTGATTGATTGACAGGACATGGCCAGTTTGGAGCTTTGAGTGCTCTCGCTGATATTGTGGCACATCACTATAGAAATGATCATCTATACTGTAGCCCAAAATAAGCTTATGAAAACATTCCAGAAAAAACATTCCCAGTACACCATGTTTATCACTAATCGGACAGCAGCATTTTCCGCTGACGGAGAAAAACTGACGGACAATTATGCAACGATATGTCATCCACCGATCCAAATGTGGTGATAAGCAAGTTTGGTGACTCACTACTTGCAATAAGCCCCCCCAGTTTTCTCTCTGACTAAAACTGCAAGAACAGAGAGTGTGGATAGTCCAGCATTTGGCAAGATGCAAGACACTGTGGTGGCCTGAATTGTAGTGTCCATGGCTTTATGGTTCTCACGTTGCTCAGAACTAAGCCAAAGCCCGTTATTTCCACTACACTCTACTGTTCAAAGTTATGGGACTACTATTAGCCTCACACATTATGTTAAACTTTTACTAGATTGAAACAATTCAATATTGAACATCCTCAGATTTAAATGTACACAAAATGCATATTTTCAGCCTGCTAATGGCACTGAGTAATGAACCAAACAAAGTCTGCCAATTAATGTACACACCTTCTGTTTGCTATATGGTCTATATGTCTTGAATAACCCACAATTTTCAGCAAAAATCTATTTCACAGCCATTCTGGCTGCCAATATGAAGGTTTTAAAAGAGTGGGGAAAGGGTAGGTGTCAAGAAAAGTCTCTGGGGCGCATTGGTGCCAAGAGGCACCATGCGGCCAGACTCATGGTATGTGGCAGAAGTGTGTGTCCAACCACTACCATCAGCACCACCAATGAGCCCTGGGCAGCCATGACGTGCTGTAAAGGAAAGTGCTACACCAGTCAGTCTTTTCACCACCCTCTGCTTGGTTTGGTTGCCTGCCACAGGGGTAGACCAGGCATGACAGCAGCAGGGAAGGTGGGAAGCTGGGACTCCTCTGAAGGACAAAATGCCTGGAACCCATTTGGTGTAGCATCTCTGCATTCACATGGGGTCTCCACAGTGAAGTAGAAAATCACAAATCATATACTATCAATTTAGAAGCCAAGGAAAGGGTTCGAGAGGCCTCCTTATTCATACTGTTCAATACACAACACTTGAATAGCTAAACACCTTTCCTTTCCAAAAGTGCTACCTGAGCCAGGGAGTCAGTACGAATCCACTATGGCTGATAATGTCCAATTTCAAATGCTGGTCAGCAGCATTAATGCCTTGGCACAATACACCTCAGGCTCTCAAGGAAGTGCACACCTCACCTAAAATGCCAGCCTTTCATTGCTGATACCAACACAATGGCAAATGTGGATATGGATAAAAACTTGGCATATTGGATACTTAGAATTGGAAACTTGTTTATACCATTTTATGGAGTTTTTTTCATTTGGTTATTTGGAGAAATCAACCTCTTAGTGTTTTGCAGAAAAACCTTTCCGAGAGTAGCCATAGTAATCTTGCCTTATGTTCTATGGCATATATGAATCTCACCTGCCAAGTTCTTGTAATCCACCAGGTCAAACATGACAATTGCCACAGCTGACCAGGTAATGATAAGGGCAACAACAAGGAGCCATGCTGCCGGTGAGCTGAATGTTGTCGCAAAGTCCTCTGAAACGGATCTCTTGGACACTTTCATATGTGGCATGGGAACTGCTCCGTTCTTGCCATCTATCACAGTAGTGCTGGACGCAGGCCCTGTCAAATGGTAAAAGGAAGAAATGAATGCATGGGCCATGACATTATCCCTCAGATGTGAAAGAACATGTTTTTCAAGTACAAGCTATATCATGCCTGAGAATTTAAGGTGCACTGCAGAAAATAATGTTTATAATCTATGAAATTGATTACTTACTTTTCGTTATAATAATCCTAATGCAGGGTACAATCACTAAAACTCAATAAAATTATATCAGATGGACTGATTCCACCCACTCACTACACAGGAAGACACAATAAAACAGATAAGTAACAGTTTACATGACACGGAACGACAAATTCAGTTAAAAAAAAAATCAGTATTTCATAAGTCCAGCACGCTTGAGACTCACACCTGACCATACATGATGGCAAAAGGAGTTCCATGTCTATGTTATTTTACCCTCATAGCTTAAGGCTGTAACTTCATTTTGACAGAACCCGATATATCATTTGCAGGAAGTAATTGGAACCATGGTTTACCATGGCTTAGCTGGCCCTGGATTGGAGGCATCACTTCTCTGAGCTATGGTCACTGGAAAACAATCCCCACTCAAAGCTATTGCCCTTATTCCCTGGACATCTGGTTAACCACTGTGGTAAACAGGATGCTGAACTTTGGTCTGATCCAGACAAGCACCTATAGTTCCCTTCCTTTCCTTCAATGCAGAATAATAGCATTTCCTCTAGTCTCCTAGTCTAAAAACCTAGAAACTGTCTAGGTTTCCTTGATCCAAGCCCAGCACCTTATTTACCACATCACACCATTTTTCTGCAAAGGATCAATCTAAATGCATGCATGCAAATACACCTTCAGACAGCTGAAGTAAAATAATAATAATTTCACATCATAGTCAGCTATTATTGTCTCAGAAATGGAAGAGCTAACTAAGCTGAAGCTGATCCCCAGGTTTCAGCCAAATATAGTAGGAAGATTCTGTGTGCCAGATCCAAAAATGTCATCGCCACCTGTCCACTGACTTAGTGATACCTACATCCTTACTACATACTGTTAGCATACTTCCATTTCAGCAGTTAAGAACTCTATATTCTAAACACAGTTCAAAAGAGAAGCCATGGTGTCTAATTTCATTATCTAATATTTCAAGTTACTAAAACTGAAACCCACCAAGTCAAAATTAAAAGGAGGTTACTTTTCACATTTACCCTCCACACCAATAGTTTTTTTGTAATTTTGAGTGGAGGCAAATCCAGTCTCAGGTCTCACCTGTAAGAGGCATTCTCCTAGCAGTAGGAGCAGTACATTGTGGTGAGCCTCCTGGTCTGGCCCTGGCAGACGATGCAACATCACAGCTTCTCAGAAGGCTGATTTGAGGACCAAGATGGCACCAGAGCAGCCAATGCAGCCAATCGGCTATGTGACAATTCAACAAGGTGAAGCTTCTCTAATAGGTATTAGTTTGCACCGAGCGGCACAGTCATGTAGCCAAATCTAACTGGATTTGCAATTAGGGCATTATCACTGAGTGGGACGAGGCAATTTTTAAAACAAAAACAAATGAAAAACTTTCCTAAACAGGAGCCAATTAGAGTTCTTAGAATGCAAGGAAAGAGACCTGAGAAAAAGGGTTTTGAGATCTTTCTGGAAATAATTCATATGCTCCTGCTCCCTTTCACACTGAACAAATTTGCCACAAAGCAGCTGGATCAGGAACATCAGCATCATTTGCAAGGAGCATCAGCATCCAAGCCAGAAGTCAGATTAAAATGGATCTAGTTAATTTGTTTCATCCAGAAATCTCTAGAGCAGAATAGCCACCTCATCCCATGCCATCTTGTGGATGTTGTGCAGAGACCAAAATCCAGAAGATTTTGCCCATGTAGCTCCACAAAGAGTTAAGTGACAATCTGAAAAAAAATTATGTACAGGAAGTGGAAGCAGGGCCAGGCCACAGAGTATAAACAAATAGCAAGGAATTGTAGGGATGGCATCAGAAAGGCTAAAGCTGGAAATGAACTGAGAATAGCAAGAGCAATACGACAGTGGAACCAGCTGCCGAGAGAAGTCATGGGCTTTCTCACACTAGAGACATTCAAGGTCATCTGAATGGGATGATGTAAATTGCAAGAACAGGGCTTTTTACCCAATGGTTTTCATGGCCCCTTCCAGCTCTAGTATTCTATAATTCTATGATTCTATCTTTGCTCAGTTGTACTTTGCCACAGCTTTTGGTTCCTTCCCTTCCTTTCTATCATCAGCTCCAATCTCTTCATTACCAAGATACACACTGACTGTACAAATAATTATACCACCATTCTTTTGGGTAGAGGAATATTATTATTATTATTATTATTAAAAGCTTTTCTATCCCATCCCCTACAGAATGTCTCAGCTTACAATAAATAAATAAAATAGAACTGCTCCACAGCATTCGACCATAATATCCAATTAAAACCCACATTAAAATCAATTAAACATTAAAATAATGGGAACATTAAAAAAGTTTTTGCTGACGCCGAAAAGAATATAACATCTGCACCAGGCAAACCTCTCTGAGGAGTGTATTCCATAGTCGGGGTACCACCACAGAGAAGTCCCTTATCTGGGGACTCTTCCTCCTAATCTCCTTCAAGGAGGACTCCCGGACTAGGTTGAATTTTTTTTTTAATGTTGAAATTAGGGCCTCTGCCTCAGAGTTTTAATGCAATCATGTTTAAACTGCTTTTGGGTTTTTTTAATCAATACACACATGAACAAAATATTGCAAAAAGAGATGCAAATCAACTGAAGAGACTGTAGTCTGCAGCAAAGTGGTCACACTCCAATTTTTGAATTTGTCTTAGAAATTCTTCTCATTTGACAGCTCAGGAGGAGTGGAACGCTAGTCAGAAGAAGCCCATTGAATAAGGTGGGGAGCCTAAACTTTACCTGGGTGCCCATATGGCTGCCAGAGAGTGGTGTCACTCACTCCAGGTAAGGCCATGGAGTAGACTAAATAGTGAAACAATGTTGAAAGATATGTGTTGTTCCATGCTTAAATAGGATGCACAGGATAGGGTCTAGGTAGCACATTGTTGTGAACTGTGCTTCTCCCGCCCAGCAACATCAGTCTCACCAGAGTTTCTTTGCCAATAATCTTTTATTATTATTGAACCCATTCAGTACCCAAAGCTCTCTTTATGAACCCATTCTGTGTCTTAGCCCTGGAGAGGGGCACTGTGAATGGCCCCTAATTGGATCTCTCTCTCTCATTATGATGATGATGTTTTCAAATGTCCAGGTCCACCTCTTCAAGAGGCAGGAGTCCCCCATCAGAAAAACAACCCATGCCAAGTCTCATCCCTCACCCTGGAACTCCTCCCTGTTCGCACAACCAAGTAGACTGGTACCTCCATCTGGCTAATCTCCCCCACAACTTATTCCTGTGGAGTCTCAGGACCTTGAATCACAGCTGGGCTTTGAACCATTTCAAAAACAATCTTATCTTTGGAATCTGAGCTGATAGATCCACTCGAATGAGTAGCCTCCCATGCGCATGCCTGAAATATGGTAGGAGGTGCACGCACAATACACATGGGAAGGAAGAACTGAGATCTTTCCTCCCATGCCTCTGCCTCAGCTAAGGTCTTCCTACCTTTGGCAGGAGAGGACACTTCCACAGGCCACAGGCCAATTGTCAAGTTCAACAGGACAGTTTGTGTTGAAGACTGATTGTCCCTGTCCTACTGTTTAAAGAAGGAGTCTGTGATCGGTTTGACACCTTATATAAGGTGGCCATCAGAATCAACTGGAAGAAGGGACAGGAGAGGAGGGCATATATTGGTTGTATAAAGTCTGGCATAGCATAGCATAAGTTATGGAAGATAACCAGAGGCAGGTAAAATTGGGTAGACCTTTTGACAAAGTCTTTGGGATTAATTTATTTTATTATATTTATGGACTACCAAGTAACCCAAGTTCTCTAGTTGTTTTATAGGTAAAGAGTAGTATCCTACATTGCAGCTGAAACAACTGTTCACAGAACAGGAACTAGGAGTTCTTATCCATTGCTGGCTTAACAAAGGAATTATACCTTTTTAATAGTTGCATTAAATAGATATGATTATATACAAAATCGCCTTCCTTACATAAAAACACAATGGTGAGGCTGATAATGGAACAAATTTGCACTAGGAATTATAGGACTTAGCCTATAAAGGGGGGAAAACATGCTTCAGAAACAGTTTGTGACCTGCTATTGCTTCTGTATTTTTAAAAGGCATTTGTATGGAAACAAGGTCTCTTGTTCAAAAGAGTTCATCAGCTCCCACTGCGTTCATCCACCTGGAGTCATAATCTTGTTTTTGTGATATCCTAATAATTTCCACATCAATCTATTGTGAGGATTATTTCTACTTTAACTTAGAATAAAGCAGCAGTGACATCTGATTTTCTTATTCCCAACCTTTATTAAAGTATACTATTTTAATGCAAATATGTTTCATAAGGAGAAATGTAACCAGCACACCCATGGCTCAAGTTTCTACAGCTTTAGAAGTAACTAGAATCACTCATACTGAAGCTAGTTTTATTTTCTAACTATCCCTATAAAGGAGGCAGACCAAGGATTTATCCAGATCTGCTGGTAGATCATACTGGATTTGCAGTAAATCATAAAACATTTTAACTCCCAAATGTTCAGCCATAGCAATTAAAAAAAGAGCCTCTGCCCCCCTAAATTAGACTGTAGCCTGTAGGTAAATGGGGGAGTGAACAGCTGTGAGCAGAGTTCTGAGAATAAATTCTTGCTGATCACATGCTCAGAGGCAAAAATTATTTTCTAGGGCAGCCCCAAAATGTACAGTTTGGCCATCTCTGAACTACTGTGTATAAAAGATCCAAGTTACCCCAGACTTCTGCGGCTTGAATGAAAGCAACCCAACACCAAACTAGTTCTCCGGTCTATTCAGACAGCAGCTCTGTACCTCTATCACATAGAGATATCCCCAGATAATAAAATTAAGTTTTTAATGCATTTGAGAAGTAATTTCATGGCACA